TGAACTAGTTTTGCTTCAACAGGCACACTTCATGAAGCCAGCAGAACCTTTTAACATTACCACCCTCACACCAGTGTAAGGGTATGTCAGCCTTTTTACTAGAAAACTTACCTGCCAGAGATTGCTGTTTGAAAAATTACTCATACTGAGGATGTTGACTCAATAAGCAACTCATATTCTACAGTTCAAAACAGTATTACTATGATTTTCTTCTTGTTTTGCATTAAGAGAGCAGTATCTGTTCTTTTTTTCTCTGGCAAAGGAAAAAGAGGTATTATTGCATATACTTGATCCTTCACCTGGCTTCCTGCCTTCTGATATTTAGATAAACACAATTTAATACACCAGAAAGATTTAATGTTTGACAAAGAGTCTCTTTTCACATTTGGTAAAACCTCTTTTGCTAACCTATGTGCAGAAGGATTCTTGTACAAGAGGAACCAGTCTGGCTTCCACACGAGCAGCTGTTAATGTAGGCACGCATTCAAACACGCAGTTGTCTGAAATAGCAGCGCTCTAGACGTTGAAAGTCAAGAAGGGCCAGCTCGGGTTGCAGGGCTGCGCGGCCACCCCTGTGAGACGGTGTAATCACAGGCCAGCGAAATCCTTCCCCTGCTAGGAGGCTATTACTGGTCACTCCTCGCATCGGGACTGGCCTTTAAGCAGTGATTCATGGAGGTACCACGCTGCCCTGTCTCCCTCGCTGCTGTCTTGGCTCACCGCATTCATTTCCCTCCTGGTTGCTGCAAACCACGCAACCAATTCTGTTCCAAACGTCTCCTTGGTTTTCCGTACCCGGAAGGTAGTTTAAAATCCCCAGCGGCAAGAAGGTGTCACTTGAAGTCACGGTTGTGTCTTGTTCACGCTCTGACTTCGGTAGAAATTCTGATCTGTGACTTTTTAGTTAGGGCAATTTCCAGCAGATTTCCAATTCCCGTGGTAGCAATGACGAACAATAGCTTTGTCTCATCGTAGGCATTAGGAAATATTGGTTGCTTAATGCTCCGTTGCAACAAGGATTTACAAACTGTAAATGCCTACAGCAGAGACATTTTTCAGGGTTTGCACACGGGCTGCTCCGGCTGCAACATCAGAGCTTTAGTTCTGCTTTGCACAACAGCCCAGACTGCACCAGATCACCGCCAGTCGGAGACTTCTAGATTTCATCTCACGTTTCTCTGGCAGCTTGACCTTGGGAACGCTTCCCAGCAATAAACAGCACAGAACTACCAATGCGTTACATGCGTTTCCTCATACTGTGTATTTTAAGTGTTCCTCCTTTCAGAATTTGTAAGAGCAGCACAAAACACGCAACACAAAAGTCAGCTGAAGCACTTAAATATGTTTAAGACAACAGGTGCACCACAGTACCCTGCAAGTGCAGGTACCGAATTCTCTCTACTGTCACCAGAAATGCATTTCATAACATGAACAGAGATTCGAGATTCCATGACTCGACAGTATTGCAGCACTGAGCGACTTTACAGAGAGCTGCTGGTTACGAAACCGTGGAATGATGTTTGAATTCTTCTAGAAAGCCCCAACACCAGGGATGAGAAATGTAGTAACACCGGCCACAACGGTTTCGGTAACATTTTGGATCACTTGGCAAATTTTGCGAAGTGTATCCCAAGTCACTGATCTACAAGGATTAACGTTGAAACGTAAGAACAGCAGACTGAACGAAGGAAAAGCATTCTGACCTGATTCTCACATCATTTAAGTCTGATTTTAATCACCAATTGGAATATGAATCAAGTCACAACAAAGAGCTGGCTTCAGAAACAGGAACAACTTCAGGACCAACTGGCCTCAGAAACAAGTTAGCTTGTGTGTCAGCTGGGGAAGAAATCAGTTCTGCCAACAGTCAACTTCAGGTAACATTTAAGTACCTGCTAGACTTTTGAAAACTCTGAATAAGAAACCAGATAATACGATCCATCTTTTTGAATTTGCAGGAGAGTTTTCACTTGCAATTTATACTTCCTAGCACTACTTTAAATTGATGTTTATTGAGTTTGAGTAAATTATTTAATGTGAATTTCTCTAATGTATTATGACCAAACACATTTTGATTAGAAAAAGAGCTACCTAGCCCACTTACAACACACTAGTGAGTTGATTATTTTTACTTAATATACAAAAAACAGCCATTGAGAAGGGTTGACTCTGCTAAAAATCAAACTCCAGATCAGCTGCACATCCAGACACTGCCAAGATCTTGTGTTTCAATACTCAGAGTGAAACCATGTTCCTGCTGTCACAGGAGCTTGTCATGATGACATACCACACCGCGCCAGATCACGTCCAGTAATTAAATATCTGTTATACTGCGGCAACTGGAAACAATACCTACCCACGAGAGTCACACAACAGACCATCCCATTCTACAAAGCAAACTGCCAATAGGAGAGAAAACAGAAGCCTTTGAAGGAAAAAAGCTGTGGCACACGAACAAGTTCCTCGGAAGTAAGAGAGGTGTGATCTTGTCACGGAGTATGTGTGAGCACAGGGGAAGCCCACTGCAGAGTAGCCTATGTGCATCCGTGTTACACTCCCGTTTACCTTGTCCAAACTGTTTTATGATACTGGGGGGGGGGAAATCACTTCAGCACTCATGACTATTAGAACAGCTTGAGACAACAATCTGCCTTGGGTCTGAAGAGCGCTTAGCAAAACGGGGGTCCCTGGATCATGTGTCTAGAGACACGGCTGCAGTAAGAAATAAATCTCACTGACCTACAGACAAACGGATCCATGTCATGACGCTGGAAGGGTGAAACCCCCTACGACAACCGCTTCAAGAGGAAGTAGGCTAAAGTCCTCTTTCTGTTCCTTGAAATCTAGCATACAGGACGTAAATTCATTCTTCAGAATCAACCTTTGAAAAGGAAGTCGTTAATGTCTGCAGACATACTGGAAGGCACAGCTGTCCTGTTTTCAGTAACAGACACACATACAGAACAAACCCCTCTTCTAGTCAGGCGTTTATCACATCCTTATTTCAAAGAGTAGCAGCCGTTACACGGCAAAGTTCAGACAGTGCTTTGGGTTTCTTTGGGTTTAAAAAAGCAGTATATGTTAATTTAGAACATGTGCAGGATTTTTCAAACCTCTTCCACGCGCGGTCCCTGAACTGTTTAGGCACACCCCGTACCTCAAAGTAGGGGAGGCTACTCAAGGCTAGAGCTTCGTTTTCTGGGTTGTATTTTGTACCCCCTTATAGGTGATCTTAAATCTTGAGGGGCCTCTAGATCCCATGATCAATACCTGAAATCTTCAAGAACAGAGAGAGAGACAGACAGACAGCAACTCTGACTCAGTAACAAAATAAATAAAATAAATGAAAATAAACCAGGCAAATCTGAAGAAATCTAAAACCTCGTTTATACCAATAGCATGGTTTCCATTTCTCAGGGAAGGAACCCCCCCCCTTCTCAAACGCTCAGTATCAATGCACAACAAAGAAACTCAAGAAAAGGGGGCGGCATCATTACCACTGCGCTGATGTAATAATAAAACAAAACATATTTACTACAGATATTTATTTGTGGCATTAATTCATACTGAGAATACAATTACAAATTATGCAGATAATACATACTAAAAGACATTTGATTACTCAAGATACATAGTATTATTAGCAGAAATGTACTGATTGAGAGAAGTAACTGTAATTTAGGTATACTATGAGTTTATGTTTCTCTGTTCAAGAACAAATGTACAATATTGAAGCATTCAGAAAGGGAATATACTCTAGTTTTAGGTTTGTTTGGGGTTTTTTTAGGAGGTTTTCCTTTTTGTGGCACTGCAGACGCTAGAAAAGTATTGTTTCATTAGCCTCCAACTTAAGCAATGAGATCAAGAGTTACTCAGATGCAACTTAGCATGGGGCCCGGCTCAGTGAAGCCCATGTCACACATCAGGACAAAGACAACAGCCCTCTTCACTCAAACCCATAAACAAGAAGGAAAAAAACCAAATCATGGTAGCAAAACGGAGAGGTGTAGTTACTTCTATCAATACTTACTGTAATTTATAATTTTATAAGTGCTTGACGCTATTTAGCAACAATTTAGGCGTGGCTAAGGAAAAAGAATGTTCATTAGGTTTGCAGAATTCCTTTTGTTAGGGATTTTCAAGGCAAGGGCAACTAAGGGAGTTGGAAGGAGAGAATCCGCTGTCTTTGAACACCTCCAACTTACTACGTAGTACCTTTCTGGACTTCATAAAAGAGTTATCGTAACTGACCCATATCCCTAGGTTATTTACAAATAAAGGACTTGACAGCTAAGGACAGAATGGGTCATGTTTTCATTTCATACCATGTTCCTAAACAGCAACACTTAAAATACTTTTAGTCTACATACTCAGAAAATAATTCATAGGTCTGTGATTGCTGTCTGAAAACAACTGAAATGGAAAACAATTCTAGAAAGGAATTCTATTCCATCAAGTCCTCTCCACAAACACAAAACCAATACAATTATATGGTTCAGTCTGGTCATGTGGGAGGAAGAAAAAGTTATCCTTCGTGACGTGTTTCACAAAGACCATGGCCTTACAGAATTGTTATATACAGAGCAGAAGGTTTACACCACTTTTCAACCACCTTACAAAGAAAGGTTTGCTTCTAACATTTCAACAAAAAGGCAAAACTTTCAGCCTAAGGCTGAAACAACTTTACTTCCAAAGCACAACAAACAGCGCTGTTCTACAGAATTTACTTCAGGTGGGTATTAACAACATCAAATTCATCTGGGGAAGAATCACTACAATAACCTAATAAATAAAGGAGTGATCTGTACATTAAAAGACACAGTAAAGCTTGAACTATTTCTCATTCTTTTCATAAACTAGCAGATATGAAACTACAGGGAGTCACTAAAAGAACCATGAAGTTGCAGCTTATTACTGTCTATATATCAGAAAGTGTTATATATTATTCAGATTTCTTGAGAAGGACTTTTAAAAACATATTTTTCTTTCAACTGAAGCACATAAAAAAAGCAACAACAGATTTACCTCTCTTCATAGGGAAAATAAATCAAATGTGGTTCTGTACCAGGATACATTTTTCATGCCCAGGAATTTACTCACTATGAAAGGTCTTTTCTAATCATAATATTTTATCAACAGAGAGGATTATCTTCACATCTTGCTTGCAAGTCAAGGTAAGTCAGAGGTAGCTTAAGAATGCTTTAGAATTTAGTGTTTTACTTGAAATGAATGAATCCCTCTTTCAAAAGGGTTAATAATTAGCACAAAAGGCAAACAGTATATATACAGCTGCCACTGCCTGCACCGAGAGAATAATTCCAAGAAGCTCAAAATAAGATTACAAGAGGGAAAAAGCACGGTGCACTTCTTTGCATTTGCTTCAGTGCACCAGTTCAGGCTGGTTTTCCACAAAAGGAAGCACCCCGCTAACATAGTATGCTATTCCCAACGACAGAAGAGCGATGACGATGACGAGGAGCAGCACCCTCCAGAAGCCCAGGTCTTCCACAAACTCTTGCCATGTCGTGCGGAAACTGGAAAGAACTCCTTCACCTTGCTGTAGGTTTGGATTAAGGAGGGAATGGCTTTCCATCGCACTACGAAGGATTAAAGTTAAAAATACATCAGAGCAAAAGAATGCACCTTTAAGACCGAAACAGTCTAAACTAAAAACTAAGCCCACTTGCGGATTTAAAGCATTGCCTGTGCTAAATCAAGACAAGGGAGATAAGTTTAGAGTTAGGAGCCTCTTCCTCAAGTTAGCTGAAAGGATGTTTTACTAACCCGTGTCAAGAGAATGCTATTTGTGTCTGTACAACTGCCCTGAGTTTGCAGGCTTGCCACCTAGAAGCCTTCAAAAGCCAGTCCTCACAACCCCTGTTAAATATGGCTTAGTAAAATTTACTGTATAAGCTAAAACCTCAAGGGGCACAGCTCTCAATAAACCAACAAATTATGATTAAAAAATAAACTCTGATGAACAAAATGGAAACTTTAACCATTGTAACGTAGATTCTGAACTCTGAGGTGACCTTTACTACTCTCCTGCATGTCTTTGTTACAGAAGCCTCTCTAGCATAAACCTACCACAGAAAACAATAAATTTGGAGAACAAGAAGTTCAGAAACTTTCTGATCCTCGAGACAAGTTGGCACTGCTGTGTTTTCTGCCATTCAGCAACCGTTCCGATGTTTTAACATTCCGCTACCAATCCACCAGGCCCCTTTCAATGGTCAGACTGTAAATCAGGGACCCTCACTTTCAAATGAGGAACAGAGTAGAACGAGGCAGTCATCTCGACAGTGAATCACCTTTAGAAAAAATGTAAACTGTTTCAAATACTGAAGGGCTTCTTGTACCGTTCTCCCAGTTTTGCCGCTTTCACGATCAGCTGGTAACAGGAACTTTCTCTGTTGCTGTACGGAAAACCTCAGGAAGAATAGGAAAACTGTGTTGTCACATGATTCCAGGTATGTGGAATGTCAGCCATCTGCACAGCCCTACCACTTGAGTGCAGTCACATACAGAGGTGTTTACGGGCTCACACAAACACAGAAAGGAAATGGTGAAACCAACTACGCACACAGTGATGTCAATAGCAGAAGGTAAGCAGAGAAATCCCCATTTTTTTCCTCCCTTCTAATTGCTTTCAGTTACCATATTCCTAGATATCTCTCACAGCAAGAACGAAAGAAAACATTTCAGGGAAAAGTAATTCCCATGCCAAAACTAACTGTAGAAATGCTATTGTTCTCAGTGACAATAATAAACTGACCAATGACTGTTATCAGAAAGAGGTCTAATTTATGCATCTCTCTAAGATTACACCACGGGAAAACTGTGCTATTCCCACGGTGTTTTTTGTTAGGAACTACAGCCACTGAAGAATCATTGCCACAGCTTGCTCAAGTATTGCAGCATCACGTGCAGATTTCAGAAACTGCCTATTAAACAGCTTGCCGTCTTTTTTTTTTTTTTTTAAACATTTACCTTGCTTTAAGCTATTTTTGCTTGCCTGTAGCTGCAGGATTTACCGATCTTCCTTGCTTATTATGGTTTCCCAAGCAAAACCAAGGGTTTAATAAAGGACAGCCATTGGTGTAGAACAGAACTACTCACTCATTAAGTAGTAACTAGTTAATACATAACCACAGAGAGGTTACATAAAGGTGCAATGCAATTTAAGTGAAAAGATCACATGCTTGCTCATTAAACAGAAAAGGTACATAGAAAACACTTTCGCTGTTTTATATTACAACCCAATTAAATTCAGTGTTAGTCAAGGTATTTTTTCTCCTTAGGAATTAGAGCTGCTTTAAAAAACGGTAACACAGCAATGCATCCTACACAAGAGTTTGTGCCAGAGTCGTTCTCGCCTGTTTCCAACCCGGCGTGGAAGTTCACATTTGGATGCACCTGTGGGCACAGCCAGGGGTTTGCAGACAGACAGATCGCCCATCCTGACAGACGGACAGCGAGCTCTGCCTCCCGACAGCGTTGCACCACTCCTCACGGGGAGGTGCGCAAGGCAAGAGAGAATAAACCTGACCCGGGCACGCAGCTTTCGCCCCTGCTTCCACACCAGCAGCAGCAACTCCGCGTCACAGGGAGCAGAAAACTCAAGCCAGAGACTGTTTTTAGAAAGAGGAGCCATTGCTTCTCCATAGGTTCATCCATAATGTACGAGGGTCAGGGGGAGAGGACAGAACACATTCCTCTAAGCGGCTCTGAAATGTGAAAATAATACTGCAAGGGAGGTCTGAAAAGCCAGCTATTAGAAAGGCATTATTTATTTACAGAGCAAACAGCATACACTTGCTTTTGCTGCTCTGTTATTTGTTATTTTAAAAATAACGTATTTCAGAGATTTTTAAACACGTTCACAAACAAGCTGGGTAGCGCGCTGTTTGTGTCTCTGCGCCTCTCCCCAAGGAGAGCTGCTGACTTCCTTGCCAAAGCAAACAATATAACATTTATGAAGGTCGAGTCAGAGAAAGGAAGCTATGTTCGTTAAAGGCACACCATCAAATTTTTAAAAAATCAGAATTTAAATGGGGCTGAACTGTTGGCCCATACGTTTAAACAACACCAGCATTTCTGTGTGGAAGGAACTTACAATACAATTAAGTCAGAAAGGTAATGTGCCCAAAATTCTTGTAATTGATACCCATGTAATTTTGAGAATAATGTTAAATTTTCTATTTCAGGGCTTAAAACAGTCTCTCTGACAAGTAGAGTCACCTGATGTATAAGGAAGAACTTCCAACCTGCTCACTGGGAGCATTTGGTACGATTTCTGTAATTTCGTTGGTTTCCCCTTTTCTCAACTTTGGTAACAACTCCATCTACGCAGTTTAATTTTCCCTGACAGTAGAGGTTGTGTACATTTAGACACAAACTAAACAATTGTGTGACAAAGCTCCCTGTCTTCTGTGATATAATGTTCCAGCAGTCACAGTTCATGATCGCTATTAGACAATATAAAATATTACAAATCTGAATAAATTCAGTGTAAGAGCAAGAATTCCAAACAACGTTGATATCCTGTTTCTAATATAAATTAAACCAAAGCAAAACAGTACTGGAAAGATCTCTTGCATTATTAATCTCAGTCCCATGTTCTGTCATGTTTACCAGCAATTCAATGACTTCTGCAAGACAATTAGCCTCCTCTGAAACTTCCAAGGCTTCTTGCCTCATCTATATCCTACAAGAAGCGTGTCTGGGAAGTTCATTATAAAAAACCACCCCCAGTTTTCAATCAAACAAAGTATTTGTGGTTTATCTGTATCCTTTTGCTCTTGTGCTATCATCTTGTGTCTTAAACAGCTGGTTTACGTTGTTCAAAACCAGGATTTGTCAGCAACCCCACACCTCTCAGCCTTCACTCTGTCAGGCTAAAACGAGCTCTAGTTGCATCCTTTCACAAGGAGATGCTCTTTTCCCTTGAGCGCTGAAGTAATCCTTCTCCACGCTTTTTAAGGGACAAACTGAACTTTTCTGACTGGGGCTAAAGAGCATTATAAAACGTACTACAAAGCAGGAGTTACCGTTGTTTTTTACAACGGCACTGACAGTTTTCTTTATGTAGTGGAAATAACTCATTTTGCACGCTTGTAGGACTTCACTGCCTTTTTTCAGGGTTGCATCAACTCCTCTTCTCCTACACTCCTCCTATCATTTGATTCTGTACCTCATTTTCCACTGAGGAACTTCCCTTTTACAGCACACAGCTTTAGGTAAATGAAGTTGCATTTTGTGCTACTCAAATCACAATTTATTTGTACTAATTTCCTCTTGTCATCTCAGGTTTTTGTCTACGTCATCCCAATTTTCCTCTGGGTTGCCTGTATCTCATTTCACAGTATCGCTAACATGCTCCTACTTGCCATGCCAGTACCATTTATGAGACGGTAAGTAAGCACAGTCCCAGAACCAGACCTTCAGGAATTCATTAGTAACTTCCCTCTAACCCAACACCTCCCCTGGAATTGTCAGCAATTTTTCCGAAATCTTCAGTTCCCCTTGAACTCTCTTCAGCTACCATGAAATCCTTATTTTATTCTCCAACTTTTCCACGACTACTGCCGATAGCAATTTCATATATGGCACCGTATAAAATCCTTTATTCAAGTTCAGACAGAGGAAAAAACTCTTCTATTCCTTCTTCGCACAGACAACACACCTTATCAAGAGGATGTCAGGTTAGCCTGTGATACTGGCATTTTGCATTTCACCTCATTTTCCCTTTGGCTGTGTGATAAGTGGTAGAATATTTATTTTTAGGAGTCTGAAATGGAAAACTCTTAAAATTTCCACCATAAAATTAAAATCTCAATAGAAAAACTTCCTTTTTCCTCACATTTGATCTGTTTAGAAATTCTTCCAAAATTTAAAATCTGATTTTGGTTTCTGATAATAACAGCCCAAACTTGATATTATCTGTTTTGACAAATAAAGAATCAAGTCAATCGCAAAAACCCAAAAGCCATAAACATTATTTCCTCAAGTAATTATTTTTCTTGTGTAAATACCTTTCGCTTTCAGCAGTTTGCATCGTTTCCAGCTTTGAGTGAGCTCCTCTGTTGAATCCTTTCACCTCTTGCTCTTCTAAAGATTCCAGCAGCCTGATCACATCTTTATTCACACCCCTTCGTTTTGCAAGAACAAGCGGTGTTGCACCTTGGTGATTGCTAAAATAACCACACAAAAGGACATGAGGAGAAACTATTAATACAGAAATTTTGTAACAAGACACATCAGCACAACACATTAAAATTTATTAAGTCCTCAGAACTATTTTCTGCCATATCAGACAGTAAGAAATTCCTGTCGATAAAAGTTATAGCATAATTGGCTATCAAGAAAATAAACATATATAGGTTTGAAATTGCACAACTCTTTTTCCTCTAAATAAAATTAAAATTCTTAATATTCTAATCTAATTGGAATCTCTGGGCATTAAAACAAAAAATAAAGAGTAGATTTATGGCAATGTTCAAGACTAAGCTTAATTTCAAGCAGGAATTGTGCAATCTGATTCCTCATAGTTCCCTTTCCATGTGGGTATTAGGACATCAGACAAAAATGAAATAAAATACAGATGGTCCCTCTCTGCTACTATTAAAATAATACTGAATAGGACCAGAGCTGCCTTCAGACTAGGGTTTTTCACCAGACTTGTTCGAAATGAGGAAAAAAAAAAAACCCAACCCCCAACCCATAAAGAATCTGGTCTGCCAATAACCAGTTTTGCTGAGTTGAAAACATTAATGAGGGACAGGTGAAAAAGGGACAGATTAAAAAGCTCAAAGGTTTTGAAGCTACTACTGGTTTTTGCAGGCATTGTGAATGTGCAGAAAGTTCCACAAACAAGATAATTCAGCTGCTGCAACGAAACAGCTAGTTATTTTGCAGCTTGAGAGCTTACATCTGAGCACTGGCATCTGACAGCTGCTGGAAGCCAGAAGGAAAGAATATACAATATTTAAAAGGACTGAGTCACAGACTTTGAGGGAGGGGGAAAACACTGAAAGGAAGCATTGTTACCGGAGGAGTACGGGAATGAACTGACACACACATATACTGTATTTTCTTTGTCTTATAGAGTACAACAATGAAAACCATAGAACTGTGGTGGAGAAAATCCTTTTTAAGTAGTCAATGTGATTTTTTCTTTGGTGCCAACCACCCACACCTGGCTGTCTGGCCAAACCGGGATAGCAATGTCATCAGGGAGGCAGAATTAGACACAGCAGCCCACACCAGCAGCTGCTATTTTTATTTGCTTTGCCTGCTGCACAGACCAGCAGTAGTGGCCTCTTACTGCTTTCCTACCTTCTTGTTTTGTGTTTTTATTAAGCGGTAGCTTAAAAAAAGTTGAGTTGTGCCAAATACAGCATTTCAGCAACAGCAGATGTATATGCAAGGCTCTGGCAACAGAGGACTATTATTTACAAAATATATGCTGTAAAAGAAGTGACTTACCAAATATCAATTTTAAGCCCATTAGAAACCAGGAACTGGATGGTATCCACATGCCCACACAGGTGAAGGGCTGTGTTACCTTGGTAATCAGTGGCCAGTAAGTCAGCACCAAATTTATGCAAGAGCTGACAGATGTCTACATTTCCTCTGGCTGCAGCAAGGTGAAGGCCAGTTCGGCCCCGGCTGTCGCGAATATTTGGGTCGAAACCACTCTCCAACAGTCGTTTGGAGTAGTTAAAATCTCCATCAATGCAAGCCTGCAGCAGAGGCACATTTGTCTGGGAAGAGTCGTTTACAAAAACGTAGGACATTGTTCCGATTCTCTCTGGAGTAGGTGACCAACCTGCAAGTAAAAGTGGGAAGAAATGATGGTGAAACCAGGCAAATAAACACAATGCAAATATTCGGTAGACTACTCAGCTTCCCAAACGAGAATGCAAACAAGCTTGTAAACCAACTCTGAAATCCTCCTGTCCTACATATTAACTTTGCTGCATTCCCACCTGGCAATATGGAATGAGATCCTTTCTGTCTTGGGCCTACAAGGGAGCTGGGGGGGACTTTTTACAAGGGCCTGTAGTGACAGGACCAGGGGCAATGGGTTTAAATTGAAAGTGGGGAGGTTTAGATTGGGTATCAGGAAGAAGTTCTTCACAGGGCGGGTGGAAGCACTGGCACAGGTTGCCCAGAGAAGCTGTGGATGCCCCATCCCTGGAAGTGTTCAAGGCCAGGCTGGATGAGGTTTTGAGCAACCTGGTCTAGTGGAAGGTGTCCCTGCCCATGGCAGGGGGGTTGGAACTAGGTGGTCTTTAAGGTCCCTTCCAACCCAAACCATTCTGTGATTCCTCACGCCTCTGGGAACAGCAGCAACACTTTGTTACAGAAAACTGCTAAGATCACTGCCACAAATGCCAGACAGGTGACAGCTTTCACCTAGTAAGAGATCACATGCAGCAGTGCTGACACTAAAGGGCCAAACACTGCAGGTGGGAACTGAAAGGCAGAAGAACCACCTTCCATGAATCGGAAAACCACAAACAATTTAGTTACCAGACACAGCAACACCAACTGCAGTCCCCTCTGGCTACAAGCAAAGCTACTCCAGCGGGACTGCCACCAACGCCGATGCACCAAGTACAGTCAGTCGCTGAAGATGCTCCATTACTGTAAATACCAACTCCTTCATGCTGCAAGAAACATTTTGCAGTACTCTTTGCAGAACATTGTTTTATAGTGTCACAGGTACACAAACTGCTGAACAAACAAGAACAACACTACAGACCATAGGAAACGGAGTGTGTTATGTGAAAATGCCCACCTGAAAGGGAAAGCTGCAAGTGGGTACAAGGACAACGGTACCATCAAGTAGGGAGCTATTGTGGGTTCAACTAGAACCCCAGTTTGAACAAGCACAAATGTAGCTTCTCTAACTTATTATTTAATAAAGGATGAAGTAATTTTCTGTATCAGGATCTAGAAGAAGATAAATGTTGTTTCACCACGAATTTCTTGATCTGGAGTATTTCATGAACTATGACTTAAGTTTTGCAGAAGAATATCTTAAGGATGAGTCAAATAATGAGGGTATGATGACAGTGTGTGCTTATGGGACACAGAAAATATGACTTGAAAGCAGTAAGAAAAAAAGAGAATGACTATGCAATAGGATGGCAAAATGTACTTGAGGCAATGGAAAGAAGAAATTAAAACATCCAGGAGACTGGGCAGCAAAGCTTTGTGCTGCCTCAGAAAGGAGGTGAAAAAGAAAAATAAAAATCATATAAAGCAGTAAAAAAACCTTAGAAGAAATCTCAATACTGACATGACACAGTTCAAGTGACAGAAAGGAAAAGTGATTTTAGTAGATAAGCTCTGAATGGAAACTGAATTCAAACTTCACTTGAAACAATGTCTTTCACTTGCCCGGCTTTGTCTTTTGGGCTCCTGATGAGGCAGTGTTCTGATTAACTCTCTGAACCTCTTATGAAGACTGCTACACGCAGATTTAAAATTTTCTCATCTATATAAGGTATCCTTCCACACCAGTGCGCTCATTCAGCCGGGAGAATGGAAACATGGCCAGTAGCCAAAGAATTCGATTTAAAACCTCTCCTTTTTTTGAGAGTTTATAATGTCTGTATTTTATAGCTTTTCCCCCATGTTTTAGATCAAATTCAAGATCAAAGGACCTACAGAAGTAATTTCAAAATGTTTACACGCTGCTCTGATTAACAGCTGTAGTATTTGGGGCTGTTGAGGTTAATAAATCATATTTAAACTTCAGTGGGTTGTATTTCCTCTCTGGACAAATTCTGCTCCATGTATCAACACCGTCTAGCTTTCCAGTGCTGTAATGCACAACACTGGGGTTTTTTCTTTCTTGGATGCAGAAAACAGAGATAGGAATAACTTCTGTGTCCTGGTATCTGTGTAAGGAATGATTTTTAAGTAGAGTACATTCCCCTAAGCTGCAAGTATGTTTTTAAGCACGTGATAGTGCTTCAGTGGCTCAAGCACCCTTTTCAACAATCATCTCCAATAGTGAAAGGCCAGTTCAGCGATGTACTATAAAACATTTAATGCAAGACTTGTGTCACTTAGGGCACTAACAGCTTTCTTATAACCCTACACTAAAAGAAAGGACAATGTACTTACTTGTATTTCCAATAAATATGTTACAAAACCCCTGGATGTTGCAAAGCTAGGATTCCCAGCTGATGGCAGTTTCAATTTTCTTGCCCATTTCCCACCCAAATCATGAATGATACAAGAATTCTTCTTCAACTCTGCTAGTCGAGTCTTTGCTGAGAAAAATATTGGGCCCAGTTTCTGTACGATGCAACTGTGACCTTTATATTCCACGGTAAATCTTCCCTAAAGCAAGTTCATAAATCATTTAAAACCCTCCAATTATCAGCCATAGTAACAGCATATCAACAGCACAAAACCCTACTTGTACTTGATAAACAAGATCGTGGTTTGCTTGTAAAATAGTATCTGAGTGTTTAAACCTGTTTAATAAAACAAGGCCTAACATATGTCAACAGCAGAATATTAAAGAGACCTATGCTATTGGAGAATCAGTATGGCATGCTCTGTTAAATATAAGCTAATATTTATGTTTTCATACCAACCCAGAATTCCCCACCACTTCACATACAACATACATGTTCCCCATACAACTCTGATGAAACAATAGCTCGTAATACTAGAAAAAAAAAACCATCACTGCCTTATCTTCTCAGGAAAGGAAGAACAAAGATTAGTAGTCATCAGAAAGTTTAACTGGAAGCAATTGTGATCCAGAATTTATTATCACTAGAATCTTTATTATCTTTATTATCACAGAGAGGGTGGTGAGGCACTGGAACAGGTTGCCCTGAGAAGCTGTGTATGCCCCATCCATCCCTGGAAGTGTTCAAGGCCAGGCTGGATGAGGCTTGGAGCAACCTGGTCTAGTGGAAGGTGTCCCTGCCCATGGCAGGGGGGTTGGAACTAGATGATCTTTAAGGTCCCTTCCAACCCAAACCTTTCTGTGATTCTATGATCTATGATTGCTGACGTGTAGAAGACTAAAATGAAACCTTAGTATTTCACAGTAAGAAAGACAAAAAAACCAACAAATCCTTCTTCCCAATGCTACCTAACCTATGCCAGACACAAGCTGTGTGCAAGGCTGAACTATACAGAACCACATCACTAAGGTTGGAAAAGATCCATTAGATCATCTATTCCAACCATCAGCCCAAGCCTACCATACCCACTGGACCATGTCGTCAAGTGCCACATCTACACGTTCCTTGAACACCTCTCCAGGGATGGTGACTCCACCACTTCCTTGGTCAGCCTCTTCCAATGCCTGACCACTCTTATATGCCATCTTCAAAGTGCCAGTTCCCAAATGATACGTTCTTGCCTCAAATTTAACCTGATTGAGCAAAATTTCCCGCCCAACAAAACTCAAAGAAAATCACAATAGTCAACCTAATTAGGTTTTTTTTGAATAAACAAACTGTGGTCACATTTCTGTCTACAGGATGGACAAAAAAAGCTTAATTCTGTAATGAATATCTAATGCAGTGGATTTAGAAGCAAAATTCCAAAGGATTAGCCATTCTCTTCACATCACTTCTGAAAGGTGAGTCAGATAACTCTGAACCTGTGTAAATGCTGGTACACCTACCGTTAAGCACTCTTGTCACAGGCACAAATTAGGATAAACACACTTGCATTACTAACAAAACACAAAAGCACTGTAAAATAAGCATTCTGAATATCCCTATATATTAGTCAGTTAAATCTGATTTGGTTCAGTAAATGACTGCTGCTAAAAATGCATCACTATCTACTGAAAACCTATCTTTTAAATTATACTTTTGTTAAAAAAAAAAAGTGCTGCTGTTAATAACTTGGCACTTTGATAGAAAATGAGTTTTATAGGGAAAAAAAAAAAAGTAAATTCAAAGACATCCTCCCAGGCAAAAAAGGCATAATATAGAAATACATTTTCCCTAAATTTATACAATATGGATACAGCCTGAGTACAGTGTACTACTTTATTAATAATTTTAGAAATCATGCTGCAAGCCACTTTTTCAATGACACCTGTGGGCTAGTACAGGGTAAGAAAATCTAACCGAACTGTTTGGGTTTCAAAAAGAATGCTGATATCAAGTGATTCTGTAAGAACAACTGATTTATTAGAAGGCAGTTGTCTCTCGCTGTACTATGTACAATAGTTAACTCGGTGTCACACGCCGATCTGGCGTGTAACATGTTCACACCTGCAGAAGCCAGGAGTGATCTTGAGTAATTCAAACCACAGATCTAGGTGCAAGTTCCGTTGCTTCTTGAACTAGTCCTAAATCTGCACTAACTGTGAACAGTTTTATTTTACAGTAAATGTCTCTACCTTCTCAGCAAGTTCAACAGCTACCAAATAGCTCCAGAAAAAGGAGAGAACAGCCAGATTGTGAGACAGAATCACCGAAGGCAAAGTTTCCTGCTCAATGGGATCATTCTCTCAAAACCACTGTGCACACATAGGCTCTCTCTAGATACACAAGGTAACATTTTCCTAAAGGTGTAATTTAATAATTAAAGAAACCAAGCAAACCACATTGTGTATTCTCTGAACACTGATCAGATGTTGAAATGTAAACCCAGCAATATTATTCTCTTTCACTTTCTAGGTAGGCTGAGGGAGAAATTCCTTGATAAATTTTCATGTATTTCCTTCTTATTTATGTGCAAGTTACTAAGAAGTCATTTAAGGGAATGTATGTGATATTTAGTAAAAACCATATGACCAACTGTCATTTCTGTTTAGGAAAGAACCCTG